ATTCGTCTCCATCTCTGAGCCACAGAAGAGCTGAGAACTATCTTGGCTTTCGGGGGCTCGTTGGTGACGCTGGACCATCCATATGCTAACCCCACCTGCCAGGAGAGCCACCTAAAACCTGAGGCCTATTAAGGCTCTGCTTTTAAATGGGGTCCCCGTGTTTGCTGCTTTCCGAGGAGGTGGCTCTGGGGAACTTAAGTCAAGTTGTCCTAGTTTTCTGGCCGGTGCGTTGCCTCTCTGGGGCTCTTCTGGCTAGCCAACCCCTACAAAGGCAAGGCAGCTACTACCGTCCGCACTGCTCACCGACTTCCTCAAGAGGCTTAGGTTATTGTTATGAACTAGGAAAGCCTCCCATTCTCCCACTGGTGAATTGGTAGTGAGCATGGTTAACTCACAAAAACTGTTCAACTCCAGTTGATCTTTGTGTAACAAACCATGCCCTACAGAGGGGGCCTGCCCCTAGAGAGGCGCTCTCCCCATACTATACTCATCAAAAATATGACGTGCTTCCAAGATCTCATGAGCTACTACACCAAATAGTCAAGCTGAGACAGCAGTCCAGGTGGGACAGTTTTTAACTGATTCATTACCCAGCTTGATCTTTCTTTTGTGTATTGCAAGCAGCCTGCAAAAAAATTGTGTAAGAAGCTATCCTCCAAAAAGACATTTGTATTTTCCTTTCCTTCGTCCAGCTTGTTTCCTTGCATTTGTGTCTCCATCCCCATCCCAACTGTTCACACTATCGGGGGATTCCCAGGAGTGCAGAATTGGCTAAGCTTAACACACCATCATCCCTTGTGAAGAAAGTCTACATTTGCAGACTCCCCAAGCAAAAATCACAATTGCAGCATACCAAAAAATAAGGGCCCACTACAAAATCGATCAGAGAAGAGGTGATCCCAGGAATTGACTGACTACATATTTTAAAGAAGCTCAACTGACCTTAGTTTAGTCTTGGAAAAGAGTTAACAAAAGATTCAGCAAACAAAGAAGAAGTGTTTATTTCTTCCTTTAGTCTACCCACCACATACCTAAATCTTTGCGGTCCTCAAAAGGTGATGAACCATTCAAAGAGGGAAGGGTTCTTAGGGTCTTGGCCTGTCACTGCCTGTGAAAAAGGCAATGCCTTCTTACCCTTTCCTGCTCTTCTGATCTTATTTAAGAACATGGGAGGCTGGAAGGGGCAAAGCATTTCCCAAGGGGACTGAAATCAGTCCCACCTGGCTGCATTCCAGTGTGCACATGGAGAACTTGCTGATGGACAGACGTATAGTGCACAATGTGGGGGCTGCAGCACCGTGCCCGACACTATTTCCCGCACACGTGCCATCTGTCTCAGGGGTGGCAGCTCACAAAGCAGGGCTTGGCCAAGCCCTTGCCTCAGGCTGAGTGATGGACCATTGCAAACCCACAAGCTGAGAGTCTGCGCTGCCCGTTGGCCAGAGAGCCTCTGTGAGCACAGGACTGGCGCACCCTAGGGCCTGGAATGAGTCCAGCCAGCAACCCACTGAGCCACTGCCCAAGGACCATTTGCAACCATTTGGACAATTTTAGGGCTGCTCCCTAAATGATTGCCCCCAGCCATGATAGGCCGAAACAGCACTGCAAGCACTCAGGAGGCTGGCTGTCCTCCAGCTGAGTCAGCTCACACAGCAGAGAACGCTTTCATTTTCAAGGGGCTGGGGAGGGTTGGCCGCAGGTTGGGGTGGGCTTGCAAGCTCACCTATGCGAGCTCCTTCAAAACAGACTCCGCATCATGTCACCCTGCAGGATGGGGAACTCGGAGACTGGCACCTGCTGACTGGGCTAAACAGACTGTGCAAGTTTGGAATCCCGATGTGTCTACACATGTGTTCACTGATTGTCATTTTGTTCTCTCCATGTTTTAACTTTGACCCCTTTGTAACCACAGCCTGTCTTGTGGAATAAATGATATGAGCAAATTAAAAAGGCACATTGTGCACCAAGGGTACTTGTCAGGCAATTGCTGTGACAGTCCAGGGCCCCTCAGCTCCCGCCTCAGAGTCACCTTCAGTGAAAGCCACTTCTTGCCATCAGGGATTCAGTGATACAGATGGAATTTCTTAAAAACCAAAACAGACAAATATTCTCTGGCTTGTACTTCTAGGGAGGGAAGAACTCATATTTTTCACAGCAGAAAAAGGGAGAAGCGCCATGTTCTCAATATCAAACTGTGGCCATCAACATGTTCATTGACCTTCAATAAATGACTTTTTTATTTTGAAAATTAGAGTTCAGTAAGGGAGGTCCAGAAATCACATTTATTATACTCAAGGGCTGTAATGCCTTTACCTCAGGAGTCTCAGTTCTGGTGAAAGCAGAGGCCGGGAGAAATCTCCTGACGCACCGGGTGGAGCAGAGTTCCCAGTGGCCAAGGAGGCCTGACAGTCACCGGGTGCTGAGCACTGAGCAGCCGAAGCCTGTAAGCGGGGCGAGGGAGGGAGCCCCAGGCGGCACCCTAGCGCTCTAGGCTCTGCGCCCTGTGTTGTCTTCTGAGGGGAGGCCGCTCTCCCACCACTTCCCCAGGGAAACACCTAGGATGCCTCTCGACCTCCTCGGGACCAGAGGACTTCCATTGAAAATAATGGAGATCCACCTCGGCGCACTTTGATCCTTCAAAGGCAAGTCTCTTGATCCTTGAAGAAATTCTCCCAGGCCAGAAGGATGGGGAAGGTGGGGAGGAGAGGGCTTTAAAAAGGAGGGTGATCCATTTCATCGAGCCAAGAGGCTGGGCTAGTCGGAAAGTCGGGATAGCCTACACTGCTTCCTGTGGAGATGTCAGAGGTGGGTCCCCCAGCCATGGCTCGCAGCGTCTGGCTTACTCCCTGCCCTGCATGTGCAATGATGCCCAAATTACTGTCCACCGTATAATCCAGCCCATTGAGCAAAGGAGCATGAGATGGCAGGGATGATATGGAGGATGGAGACTGTGGGATTCCATAGGGGCTCCCATCCCTCAGGTCCTGATAGGATTGTCCTGTCCCGTCCACGGAGAAGCTCCCATTCATTAACTGTCCGCCTGTAATGTCCCCCACGTTGCCATAAATCCTATTGGTGTGGCCAAGTTCTGAGAGAATTTGATCCTCTGTGGACAAAAGAATGGAGATTTATTGTCAGCCGCCAGGACTCCTGTGGCCCCCTGTTCTTCACCACCTAGGAATACACATGAGCAGGAAAGAAGCCCAAGGGCGGCAGCCGCCTAGCTGCCAAGCACAAGTCAGACACCAACACGTCGGCCTGGCATCCAGAGACTGACTCATAAGGGGAGAAACAGAAGAACCACCTGCAGAGACTAGATGCCCAGGTCCCAAAAGGCTGGACAAATGTTTGGTGAGTTTGTTGGTCCCGTGTGGCTCCTGTGCTAAGATGTAAGATGGCTACACTGAGGAATAGGAATGCCTGAGTTGGTGGCCATATGTTATCCACCTCGCCAATGGGAATTCTGTGCTCACAAGATTTAATCTGAAAGCTTTCAAGCTAGAAAAGTGCCTGGTTTTGTTGGTTGGGAAACATCCAGGCCCAAATGGTAAGAGTAGCTGAGGACCACTCTTTCCAGGTGTAAAAAAGTCCTGGTGTATCTGGAAAAAGAGGTTCAATATCAAAGGACTCGGTTTCTCTATTAAATAAGCTCTTCACTGGGGACAAAGTATGGACTTGACTAAGACAAATGGACCTTCTTGTTTCTTGAAGAATTTCATTAAGGGGAACTAATGGAATCTTTGCCACCTGGAAGAATTCATCTCTCCAACACAGGTGAGCAATTGTAGCCTTAAGAAATAAAGGATTGTATGATAACCCAGAGAGACCAATGACATGTCAACCTGGGGACCCACCCACATGCACCAGAAAGGTGCTGCAAAACAGACTTAACAATCCTATATGCTCCAGACACCGATTTCAGCAGCTCAGATGAGATTAATTGGCATTCCCAACCCTGCCAGGAGGACTGGAGGGTGAGTGTAAGGCCCATGAGTCCTTCCCAGAGCCCCACAGAGCAGAACTCAAGGCTTAGCTTGACTCCGCATCATGTCACCCTGCAGGATGGGGAACTCGGAGACTGGCACCTGCTGACTGGGCTAAACAGACTGCAAGTTTGGAATCCCGATGTGTCTACACATGTGTTCACTGATTGTCATTTTGTTCTCTCCATGTTTTAACTTTGACCCCTTTGTAACCACAGCCTGTCTTGTGGAATAAATGATATGAGCAAATTAAAAAGGCACATTGTGCACCAAGGGTACTTGTCAGGCAATTGCTGTGACAGTCCAGGGCCCCTCAGCTCCCGCCTCAGAGTCACCTGCAGTGAAAGCCACTTCTTGCCATCAGGGATTCAGTGATACAGATGGAATTTCTTAAAAACCAAAACAGACAAATATTCTCTGGCTTGTACTTCTAGGGAGGGAAGAACTCATATTTTTCACAGCAGAAAAAGGGAGAAGCGCCATGTTCTCAATATCAAACTGTGGCCATCAACATGTTCATTGACCTTCAATAAATGACTTTTTTATTTTGAAAATTAGAGTTCAGTAAGGGAGGTCCAGAAATCACATTTATTATACTCAAGGGCTGTAATGCCTTTACCTCAGGAGTCTCAGTTCTGGTGAAAGCAGAGGCCGGGAGAAATCTCCTGACGCACCGGGTGGAGCAGAGTTCCCAGTGGCCAAGGAGGCCTGACAGTCACCGGGTGCTGAGCACTGAGCAGCCGAAGCCTGTAAGCGGGGCGAGGGAGGGAGCCCCAGGCGGCACCCTAGCGCTCTAGGCTCTGCGCCCTGTGTTGTCTTCTGAGGGGAGGCCGCTCTCCCACCACTTCCCCAGGGAAACACCTAGGATGCCTCTCGACCTCCTCGGGACCAGAGGACTTCCATTGAAAATAATGGAGATCCACCTCGGCGCACTTTGATCCTTCAAAGGCAAGTCTCTTGATCCTTGAAGAAATTCTCCCAGGCCAGAAGGATGGGGAAGGTGGGGAGGAGAGGGCTTTAAAAAGGAGGGTGATCCATTTCATCGAGCCAAGAGGCTGGGCTAGTCGGAAAGTCGGGATAGCCTACACTGCTTCCTGTGGAGATGTCAGAGGTGGGTCCCCCAGCCATGGCTCGCAGCGTCTGGCTTACTCCCTGCCCTGCATGTGCAATGATGCCCAAATTACTGTCCACCGTATAATCCAGCCCATTGAGCAAAGGAGCATGAGATGGCAGGGATGATATGGAGGATGGAGACTGTGGGATTCCATAGGGGCTCCCATCCCTCAGGTCCTGATAGGATTGTCCTGTCCCGTCCACGGAGAAGCTCCCATTCATTAACTGTCCGCCTGTAATGTCCCCCACGTTGCCATAAATCCTATTGGTGTGGCCAAGTTCTGAGAGAATTTGATCCTCTGTGGACAGAAGAATGGAGATTTATTGTCAGCCGCCAGGACTCCTGTGGCCCCCTGTTCTTCACCACCTAGGAATACACATGAGCAGGAAAGAAGCCCAAGGGCGGCAGCCGCCTAGCTGCCAAGCACAAGTCAGACACCAACACGTCGGCCTGGCATCCAGAGACTGACTCATAAGGGGAGAAACAGAAGAACCACCTGCAGAGACTAGATGCCCAGGTCCCAAAAGGCTGGACAAATGTTTGGTGAGTTTGTTGGTCCCGTGTGGCTCCTGTGCTAAGATGTAAGATGGCTACACTGAGGAATAGGAATGCCTGAGTTGGTGGCCATATGTTATCCACCTCGCCAATGGGAATTCTGTGCTCACAAGATTTAATCTGAAAGCTTTCAAGCTAGAAAAGTGCCTGGTTTTGTTGGTTGGGAAACATCCAGGCCCAAATGGTAAGAGTAGCTGAGGACCACTCTTTCCAGGTGTAAAAAAGTCCTGGTGTATCTGGAAAAAGAGGTTCAATATCAAAGGACTCGGTTTCTCTATTAAATAAGCTCTTCACTGGGGACAAAGTATGGACTTGACTAAGACAAATGGACCTTCTTGTTTCTTGAAGAATTTCATTAAGGGGAACTAATGGAATCTTTGCCACCTGGAAGAATTCATCTCTCCAACACAGGTGAGCAATTGTAGCCTTAAGAAATAAAGGATTGTATGATAACCCAGAGAGACCAATGACATGTCAACCTGGGGACCCACCCACATGCACCAGAAAGGTGCTGCAAAACAGACTTAACAATCCTATATGCTCCAGACACCGATTTCAGCAGCTCAGATGAGATTAATTGGCATTCCCAACCCTGCCAGGAGGACTGGAGGGTGAGTGTAAGGCCCATGAGTCCTTCCCAGAGCCCCACAGAGCAGAACTCAAGGCTTAGCTGTAGTCCTCCCAGGGCCTCATGCTGTGGCAGGCGGTGTGTTTCAGCCTCTGTGCACCAACTTATTCTTCTGCACCCACCTGGGCCTGTGCATCAATTCCTACCAAAGCCTCTCCAGACTGGACTTCAGCACCCATCACTTTTGACAACCTGTCCTAGGCCTGCTCCCCATTCTACCTGTGGAAATGAAAAGTTGGTGGGGAGAGCTCATGCCCTTTAAAGGGGGCAGGAATATGAAGGCTCAGCTCCACTGTAAAACAGTCATTATTTAGCCTTCTTCCTATACCCGTCATCCCATATAACAAGGGCCTTCTGTGGGGACAACTGTATCTTCCAAATGTAAAAATATTCTGGGCTTTCCCCAAACACATACACTGTCAGTTATGTTCATTGATTCCCCACAGCAACATTGGGAGATGAGCAAGGATGTGGTTATTCCCCATTCGTAGATGGGGAAACTGAGGCTTAACAGAAGTGAATCGATTTGACAGAGCTACAACTGGACACCTTGCTTCAGATCCCTAGCTCAGTACACTTCCCTCCCCCCAGGAACAGAAGAGCTTCCACATTTGAGGCCTCAATAAATGAGAATAGTTATGGCTCTTTGCAAACAACCTAAGGATCTAAAACATGCAGTAATTTGTGATTTTGCTGATGCACAAATCTGAATGTAGCGCATACTGCAAAGCTCATGTACAGGGGACAGGACCCAGCATGGGGGAAGGGATTTCAGAAGCGAGACTGGCTCCCATCTCAGGTGCACCCATGATTTCCCCGGGCAAAGGACCTGTTGGACACGTCCTCCCCTGCATCAGGAGAGAAGAAAGGGGCCACTCTAGGGGGCCATGAGGGTGGGAGGGGAGGCCAGTGCCCCTGCAAAGGGAGGAAAGCAGGAGGGGCTAAGGGCATAGGCTGCTACACGGGCTGGTGAGGGAGCCCCCGATCAGCAGGAAAGGAGGGGAGGCCTGGGGCCCTCAGTCCCAGGGAGCCTAGCTTCCAGATTTCAGCAGCAGAGATCTCCTCTACTCCTTGTCCTGCCTTAAAGGGCCACTGTTGCTCTCCCCAACCCTTTACAGCAAGTCACAGGAAAGAGCTTGTGTCAGGAGGCAGTTGTCAGAGCCTCAAGAAAGACCCCTCCTGAAGGTCAAGGATTACTGCTGCCCAGGGGCCTTCCCTAAGGCCTCGGCCTTACCCCTCCGGCCCTGCTCACCTCGGAAGCTCAGCTCACTGTCACTAACCCCACAGTCCTCTGCCGAGCTCTCCTTCTCCTGCTTGCTGCCTCCCCGGCTCCTCTTGACGCTCTTGTAGAACTGCCCCCAGCGATGCCGCCCCGCATCCTTCTTCAGGCGCTTCTCCTTGGCCCTTCTGTTCTGAAACCAGACCTGCCACACAAGCACAAGGGACACATTCGGGGGGTGTCCACCACGAACCAGAGCCCCAGGGACTCCAAGACAGGTGTCGAGGCAAGGACTGCAGCCTCAGTAGAGCTCAGGGCCCGGAGTGCAATGTGCCCACTACTCCCACTGCCTGGGCCTCATCCACGGTCATGGCCCTGAGCCCAGCCTCCGTAGTCAAAAATGCCGAGGGTGCAGAAACACGGGCCAGCCTGGGACACCCTCCTTCCTTGACTCAGGCCCAGCAGGAGCGGCAGGGGCCCAGGACCCCCGTCTGGCAAATGAGCCTCACCTGTACGACCCTCATGTCCAGGCCAGTCTCGGAGGAGAGCTGCTCCCGCACGTGCCGGGCAGGCTTGGGGGAGTTCTTGTAGGCGTTCTTCAGCGTCTCCAGCTGCTTGGCCGTGATGGTGGTCCGCGGCCGCTTGGCCCCTGCCTCGGAGTCATCTGCAGTGAAAGCCACTCCTTACTGGGCTCAGCCTGCCTGAGGCAGCCGGGCCTCACCCCTGCCCCTTCCTCATGGGCTCCTGCCTGCTGGGGTGGGGCAGTGGGAAGGTCCGGCCAAGCCCATTCCTGAGCCACAGGCTTCGGGGCCCCTGAAGCCAGGCCTCTCCTCAGCACCCTGCCTCTCCCGTGCCCACCAGCCCAGCCGTGGGGCCTTGTCCAATGAGTTGTGCAGTCAACTCATTTCCATCACAACAGACACGCTGGGGACACTGGGCGTCATCACCAGACCGTGAAGGTGCAGGAAGTCTGTGTTCCCGGGGGGCCCAGATGCCCCTGCCGTCTTCCCCTCCCCCGCTGGTTCCCCATGTCTGGCCTCTCACAGCAGGAGTGACCTGCACTCTCACACTGTCCAGATGATGTTCATAAATGATGGGTCAGACCCACTAGTGCCTTGGAAAGGCAGTTGAGTGGATCTGAAACTTTTGAGGAAATAAGATGGATGGGATGGGGGGAGGGGTGGCGGTGGGTGAGGGCAAGTATTATCTCATGAAATTTATTTGGTGAACACTGAATGAAGATGTGTGCTGAGCTGAAACATAAAATGAGTTTCTCAGTGTGAATCATAGTCAAAAATGTCTTTAAAAGCACTGCTCAGTAGAATGTTCAAGACAACATGCTGACTGATCAACACAGTGGGTTTTGAGCAGACAAGCCTCAGGTTACTGTTAGTCAAAGGCTGGCTTGTTCTCAGTCCGAGTTAGGCCCAGAGAGGGGTGCCTGGGTGTGCTGAGCAGCAGGCAGCCAGTGCAGATGGCTTCCTCTCCGCCTCAGGACTTCCGTCCTCTGCAGAGCGCCCGGCCGCGAAGAGTACGTCAGCAAATGCTTCCCGGCTCTCAGGCTTTCTGCTGCCTCCGTGCCTGGCCTTTACAGTGTCTGCTACATTCCTACCTTCCTCCCTTTCTTTTTTCTTCCTTTCCACTCAAGAAAACCCTCCCTTAGTAATAACAATCATTGCCAACATTTAGTAAGTACCTACTCAGTGCCTAGTGTTGATCTAAGAGCTTTAAGTGGAGTCAGAAGACCCGGGTTCAACATTCCTGTTGAGTGAGTGATGTGGGCAAGTGCCCTCAGTCCTCTAAAGCCCTGTGTGGGCACTGCCTTCGTGCACTCTGCGGAGTGGGGGCAAGGCCCAAGTCTTCTCCTCCCCTTGGGCTGTATTCTTCTCCAGCAGAGCCATTGTCATCCTCAAACCCTGCCACCCAGTTTCCTCTGAGGATTCCTGGACCCCAAGAGGAAGGGTTACAGAGCCACCGTGGCAAATACTGAGGAAAACCTCCAAAATTCTTCACTTTAAGTTGTTACAATGAATCAATCCCTTCTTCCCACACTTACAGCAATAACAGCATGATTACATTTGATGCAGATATGAAATAGTGCACTATTAAAATACCTATACAGTCCTTAAACATAAGATTTGAAATAATAAAGCCACCAAAAAATTTTTAATTCATTAAGAATCACTTGATTTCCAAATAAGTTGGCCTAGTGAGTTGGAAATTGTTTTCATCTGACAGATGGCAGTGCCACTGGGCTTTACCCCTGTCATCCTGGGGTGGTGGCCCACTGGTTCAGCACTACTGTCTACGTGCACAGGACTTTCTTTTTGTGATTATGGAAACTATTATACTGTTATTTTAACATTCACTGTTATTATCATTTAAAATCTTTTTTATATCCTATAACAATGTCATCCAAGTAATCATTAAGTAGCAGTGGCGGTGCTGGTACTGAAAAATGTACCCAAAAATCAATAACTTTGGTGCGGAAGTTCAGTGTGATAAAACGCCATGAGGAGGGCCAAGCAAGACCATGATCGCCTAGGCTGTTAATTTAGGAGAGAGCGTTCTGCAGGGTATTAATAGGGCTGAGAAAATAAAAAGTAGCATTAAGGCAAAGATACACTTCACTGATTATAGATTTATAGATTATAGAATACACCCCCCCCACACACTTTTTACATTAATTTCTATGGGAAAATTAGTCTTAAAACATGTTAGTTTTGAATTATGCAGGGTCTCCAAACACTTGTCCCAGGCATAAAATGCAACCTCATTATATTGAAAATGCAAATATCGAGGGAGATATAACAAATGAACAAAATCATTCACACTAAGATGCAAATAGCTGATATTAGATCCTTTGTGTAGCACAAGGGAGGGAGCTCTAAGCCTGAAAGAGGGTTTAGTTTAGCAAGGAGGAATTAAAACATTGAAAGGAAGAAGCAAACATCCCACAGCAGACAAAGGTCCCCTGCCGCTGTAAGGTTCACCCAGATTTCACAGGGTGGAGTGGCCCTGCCTTGCTGATGGCTGGAGGCAGGAGGAAGAAATCAGAAATACTGTGTAACCTTCAGCTACTTGAAAACCTAGAGCAGATCCCACCTCCCTCATTTAACATCCCATCCTGCAAGTGTCATCGATTTAAGCTTCAGGAGACAGCGCTGTGTGGCAGGTGCTATTATCTCCATGTAGAGCTGAGAGGCCAAGGCTCAACCAGTTAGTTACACAACTCACAGGGGACCCAAGTTCCTGAGTGACCAACTGAGCAGTGATACCCATGAGCCTCTGATGCCAAGTCCAGAGCCTTCCTGCAGTCTCACGGAGGTCTGCTATGGCACAGATAACCCTCAATAGAAGTGCCAGCCCCACTGGGTCATTCTTGTCTCCTCAGCTAGTCTCCCCTTCTCTTGAACCATACACAGCAACAGTGGGCCCCACACCATGAGAGCTCAAGGCCCAAACAAGGCCTCTGACAATGAGGAGTGACCACAGTCCTGGGGAAGTCACGCAGCTTCAGTATCTCTGGCGCAGGGCGTCAGAGCTCCAACGGCAGCTTGGGGTCTGTGAGTCCATCTGCTTTGATGGCTGATACCTGACAAGACACTCTAATCTTCTGGGACATTATAATTGACTCCAAAGCAAAAGTTTTAAAGAACCAGAGCAGATGTAGACATTAAGGCAGAGAGCATGGGAATAGGCTTGAGGGGCCCCGGAAAGAGGAGAGAAGAGTCGGCAGGCCCATCCATCGGAAAGGCCGGGCTGTGGGCGGTGGGGGGAGGAGAGAGAGGAGGCCCCCGCCTGGCCTGGCGCCCCTGACATGCCCACTTCCCTCCTCCCAGCCAGCCACGCTCCTTCCGGCTGCCTCGCCAAAAGGGCCCCTATGTATTACCTCTGCCTCCTCACTGCCACAAACCCTTTATTTAAAACTGCATTTATTAAGTGAAACACTAATTTCTCCAGGTATCGATCAGATCTGCTTAACAGGTATGTGGGCCTGGGAAAGATCTGGAAGGACATACATGAAATTGTTGCAGCTTTCTTTTTTCCATCAAGCCCAGAGCTGTCAACAAGAGCTGCTTTCTGCAGTGACAACCCGAGCTGGTGAAAATTCTAGTCAAGGGCAAACGACCTTACTGTTTTGTGAGTTTGTGTTTGAGAGTTTCAGGTTTGGCCAAATTCAAAATTCATAGCCAGTGTGGTGGGCAGAGCATCTGTGGGCCCTGCTGTGAGTGACGAGCCCCAGGTGGGGCTGCAGGCGACGGGGGTCAGGCTTGGGCTTCTCCAAGGGAGCTCAGGGGAGGGGGGCGTCTGAGCCCTGTCTATGCTCTGGAAGGCCCTGGAAAGAGCCGGGAGGTTCCAGGAACATAGTACTGGAGGGCAGGAGCAGCTGCTGCCCAAGCTCCTGTGTGGAGTAGATTTTCTAGGTGTGGCTGCTAAATGCTGGGATATCAGCCTCGGGCTGTGCAGAGATCTACAGACTGCAGCCAGGGGCCCTGAGGTGGTGGGGGAAGGCAGCTGGCTGGGTGGGGAGTTATGTGGTCCAGCTGGAGTCTCCCTGAAAGTGGAGACTGGCTGAGCCCTGGCTCCATATCAGGGGCTTCAGGAGACACAAGGAGTCATCACCCCTAAGTGCCTGCCCTCAAGAATCCCATCTGGCAAGGGAAATAGGTAACTACACAGACGACGACCAAGGGCAGCTTGAACCAGAGCTCTCACTGCCTGAAGCCTTCGAGGCGTGGGAGTGCTGAGGTAAATGTGCATCCTGATATAAGACTAAGGAGCAGCCCCAAGTGTCCACTGTGGACAGAGTGGGGCCCTGAGGATGGGCAGCTCCAGCTCCGACTCAGGCAGGCCCCCCCAGGCAGCGGGCGCAGGCTGACCGAAGGTCTGGAGGCAGAACTGTTTACCATTCTGCTTGGCTGTCTCGTAGTCCTCCTTGCACACCAGCCGCCCGTCCTCCATGAGGTAGAACTCGTCGCCCGTGGCCAGCTGCCGGTTGCAGATGATGCAGGCGAAGCAGTGCAGGTGGTAGACGAAGTCCTGTGCCTTGCGGACCACCTGGGTTGGGGGGATGCCCTGCTGGCAGGCCGTGCATTTTGTGCCGAAGCGCCTGTCAGGACCAGAATGGATCAGAGCACACAGGGGTGTCTGGATCCCCTCGATTCCCCCAGCCCCTCTTCCACCCACCACTCCGGGGGATCCCCAGGCCTCAACCCCTGGGCTGCCCAGTGCTTACCGGCTGGTCTCCTCCACCTCCAAGTAGGCTCATGGCTTTGTGCCCAGGCTCGTTAACCGCAGAAGGAAGGGGCTGCATCAGAGACAGAGTCTCCAGAGCCTTTTCCAAGGCTGACATCACAGGGCCCCCAATTGCCTGACTAACACCCCATCAATTCACTGGGGCCCCAGGAGTTTCCAGTCCATTCTGAGTAGGCGGTCTCACCCTCTGCCCCCTGGTTTCTTCAGCTTCGTGGTGAGGCCTAGAGGACCAGCCCCACAGGGCAGCTGCGGTGCCCAAGGGCTGGTATGCTTAAAGCCTCCTGCAAACTCCTCTTCACATGGTGCCCACGGAGGAGCCCGTGTGGCTGGAAACAGCGCACACCAGCATCCATTCCTGAGTTCCAGAGAAATCACACTTCGGCAGCAGAGCGGGGCTTCTGCGAGGGGCTTTTCTCTCCTGCCTCTCGCCTCCATCTGGCACAAAATGCTGGTGCCAGCCTCCATCCCCTCCCATGCACCGCCCCTGCCATATTGGTGGCTGGGGTGGGCCTAGGAATCTGTATTTTCACACCTCTGCACCATTTGAGCAGAGAGTCTGCAGACCTTAGTTTGAAAAATGCTTCTTCAGAACCTCCCTGGTCTACACCTTTTGGACCAGCACTGAGACAAGAGGAAGGCACCCACTGCCACCCTGGGCCAAGGTTGCAAAGGGAGAAGTAGACATACTGAAAATACAATCCAGTGGGTCACTTAAGCCCCTTACCGCATTCTGGGCATAGACACAGAGCCACACCAGTGGTTGTAGCGGCCAGAGGGGAATTTGGGGCCAGTGTAGACGTGGGCGATGAAGTGGGGTGCTCCACTGCAGGTGAGCCTTCCCTGCTTCAAGGAGGGAGGCGGGAGGGGTTGGGGAAGCAGGGGCAGAGTTTAAAACAGCAATCAACCTAATTATTCATGACATTTCACACAGCAGAACTTTATCTTCTTCAGGATGAAAGACTTCGCCTAATGGATCTGGGGAAGGTTTGATTTTAATGGTCCTTTTAACTAATGCTTATAGGCAGCCTGATTTCCCCTGAAAGGACAGTACATATTTCATCCACATTAATACCAAATAAATTAATTATGGTCATGGCTATCATGATGAATCCCAGATTAATGTAGAATGATGGGTCTCTTGTGCAGTAATGATACCTGCTGGGGGCTGCAGGGCCTGGAACAGCTGGGCCAGCTGTGGCTTCAGAAGCCCCCCTCCCAGGGACTCAGTGTTGCAGAGGGAAGTGGGGGAGTCTTACCACCTGGCCTAGCTGGGTAACCCCAGAAGAGCCAGGAGTGTGGCTCAGTGCCTGCTCTTCTGAGATGAGATCTGGGAAGGGTGCTGGGGCATGAGGCACTGAAGTGTCCAGGTGGAAGGGCCCCAGACGTTTGCACTCTGGGGGTGCCTCCTGGTTCTCAAGGAGGTGGCAATGGGAGCAGGCCTAGAGAGGGCATTCTCAGCATGAGGTTCAGGATGGGGTCTGTAAACCACCCTGAGTTATTCAAAATTGTGCATCAGGAGAAGGTCTGGGTTTTCATCAGAATTTCAAAGGGGCCTAGGACCCAGAAAAGTAGAGTTAACATTTGTTGAATAAATACATCGTGAATAAAGAACACACTTTTAGAGGATGTCTGCAGAGATGGCTAAATCTGAGGATGGAGAACAAAGTATACAGTCAGTTCTAGACAGTTCTATACCTCCCAGAATACAGGTGGGAACCAGGCTTGGACAACTGCTATCTAACCATGTTGCCTGTATTGAAGAGGAAGGCATGCAGGCACCCTGCTTCATCCTGGGAGAGTGTGTGCGTGTGTGTGTGTGTTTGGGGGAACAAGGAGAAAGGAAGCCTGTGTGCATGTTACTAGAGGGTGTTTTCAAAATGCCTGTGGTTTTTATACCCAGTCCAGGCCACTTCATTCACAAAGCAGGTGTTAAAAATGAAACAATTCCTAAAAAAAAAAAAAGAAAGAAAAGAAACAATTCCTTCAGCAGCATCCTCACCGCAAACCCTTCCAAATGAACCACCCAAAATCCAGAGCATCCAAATTCTTTGCTGTAAGTGCTGCGCAGAAGCAGGTCCAGAGAAGACCTAGAGTTTTCCAAAAAAGCAAGTCCTCTCTTGTGGCCAAAACAGGGCCACAGAGACTGGAGGGGGAGGACGGCTGAGGGGAGACCAAGGACCCTCCAGCAGCCTCGCCGTGAGAGGGCCACAGCACTGTCACCACTGAAAAGCAGACAGTGGTTTTCAGTAACCAGAAACCCAGCTGACATGAAAGATAACGGGGGTATAAATTTAATCTACATACCGACAGTGATTCATGCATGAGGGTGGCAAGAGCACAAGAAAAATGAAAAACAAATGGACTTTCCCACCAGCATTTTTTAGCAATTGAAGCAATTTTCCTGATTGTTGGGATTTATACCCATGGTAAGTGGAAGTTGCTCCTTATTACCTTTCTCCTCTGGAGCACAGCTGATGGGATCCCTGCTGAGGGGACTGCTGTACCCCGTGGCCTACAGGGTTCTTCCAGCATGGCTCAGCCTTGAAAGGCACCCCCATACCTCTGGTCAGAGCTGGGGTATCCGGAATAAGGTGCTGTTCAGCAGTGCTGGGGGCGCAGGGTGCAATAAAGAGACTGTCCCTGAGTTTCCAGATCTTAGACCAGCCAGAGTCACAGATGACATACCGTGGATGGCCTAGCTAGGCCACATGACTGGTTCTGTGACCAGCAATAAGGAAACGACTGTGGTTAACACTGCCTGGTCCAAATGAGGTAAGACTGTGAACTTGGCCACTACACAGAGGAGCAATAGTCTAACCAACCTGACCGAATTTGAAAGATGCTGGGAGTGGGGATGGAGCTGGACACCAGCCATAGAAGAGGCTTCCGAGGGACTTTCCAGGCCGTTGCCCCTCATCCCGTCACTGAGCACCTACTGTATGCAGGGCCCAGCCCACGTGGGCGTAAACCACACAGGCCCGCTTACCAGAGGGACAGTCTCTGCTCAGCCCTGCCTGGCTAGGCCTCTGGGGACAGCCAGTGTCCCTAGGAATGGCAGCTGGAGCTAATCCAAACGACAAGGAAAATGCACAGAAGGACTTGCTAACGGTTCACGTTAGTCTCCTCTTCAGTCCAGCATCACTGGCTATTCCCTTCCCCCTGCCTGGCACGGAACAGGCAGGCGACAGGACCCACTGAGTAAGCGGGAACGCATGCACGCTCCTTAAACTGGTGTCTAAAGCATCAGCGAAGGATCGACACTCAGCTCCTTCAAGGCTTTTCTAAGGGAGTTGGACCCCAGGCTTCACTGAGGCCCACAGTTCACTTAAACAGAAACTTCCCACCCTGCTTTGCTGTCATCATAGTTCGCATTCCACCAATGTCCCTGGAGCATTGGGCTGCCTTCCAACAGCTGAGAAACTGAGGCTGACTGGTGAGGTGCCAGCTGCAGCCCACACAGCAATGGGAGAGAGAAGCAGGGTTTGAACTCATATTCTCACAGCACAGCTGGCAGAAAGTGGGCATCTGAGCAGCAAATAACCCCTGAAACCTGGCGTCGGTGGGCCTACGGGAGAATGAAACTCCGGAACAGGGTCCTGTCCCCTCAAGCATCCCCAGCGGCTCTGAGCCACTGAGCGTGGGCTCCCACCCTGAGGCACAGGGGCTGCCCAGGAGCCCCTCCCCAGGGCGGCCACCCCTAGCACAACAGCCAGCCCTGCCTCCACGCTCCAGCAGCCATGGCAGGCAGGCAGCCTGGGCATGCTGCCCAGGAATGCACCAGACTTCCAGCAGATGCTCGGGGCTGCCCCTGACCCCAGGAAGGGCCTGGGCCTGTGTCCGTGGTCTCACTCTCTGCTCCAGTGCTCAGCCTGAGTTCCCATTTGCCCGTTTATCTGTCCCCACCAGCTGCTCGTGACAGGCCTGCTGGGACCACTCTCGAGGGCAGGGACAGACCTGAGGTGTCGGGATCCTGCAGGAAGAGACCAACAGGCAGGCAGTGCAGGCACCACACCTTCTAAAAACAGGTGCACGTAAATCTTACACCACATTCTGACCCATTCCTGATCTTAAGTTCTGTCCTATGACCGAATATGTCCATATTCTTCTCCCTGAAACCCTAATAACAGCAGTGCCCATTGACCAAGCACCGCCTGAGCACCCCCTTTTGGTTCACTGACCAAGTCCTCACCCCCAGCCCTCAGACCACAGCCCCGCTGCCCTCCTGTGTTACTACTGCCCAGCACCGTCCTTTGTCCCCTGACCAGTGCAGCTTCTGTGCACCACCACTCACCGTCCCTCCTGCCATGATTCCTGGTCACCAACGGTCCTTCCTGCACCTGCCCCCTCAGTTCTTTGACCCCCTGTCCTGGAGGTCACAGCCTCTGCTGTTCCTCAGCCTCACACCCCCAGGGGTTTCCCAGACCCTGCAGCTGGCAGGACCGGCAGCGCCTCGAGGAATTCCTTCCCATCATGGCACCCTCCAGCAACCTCTTCCTGTCCTTACAGCACCCAGCAGGGACTCTGTGGTCCGACTCACTGATCCCTCCCTTGCATCAGCCTCACCTCTCGCCCCCTCTCACTCCGTCCCCCGCCCTCCACGTGGCAAGTCTGAACAGAGCAGAGGGACACCCACATCGCCTCAGCAACGGGGCTCACTTTAAATGTATGACCCTACCACAAGAGGGCCAGGGACTCGGTGCACTTCCCTGCCCCACTCACTCTGTCACCCTGCCAGATACCAGCTCTCTCAAGCCCTCCATCCCTGGTCTCAGCTGGTGGCCCAGCTTCCTATTTCCAAGAGGAAATAGAAGCTCCGAGCAAAGACCTGCCACGTGCTCCCACCATCCCGTCCAC